TCCCAGAGTGAGCAAGAAATAAACCGGTTGTCAGCGGTACTGAATATTCTGGGATCCCTTGTGAGGGCATCAGAACGTGGCCTGTCCCGCCCACTGGGTGCTCTGGGTGAGAGGAGGCCGGGGGCAGGCAGCCAGCAGGGAGGCCTTGGAGAACGCCTTTCCTTCCGGGAGGTGAGCGATGACGGGGCTGGGCCGGGGCAGTCGTATGGAGGAGGGAGAACGGAACGAGCCGGTTGTGCGTCGCCGTGGCTTGTGAATGGACATACAGGAAAAGCGGAAGCATTTCTTTCTTTCTTTTTTTTAAATCCTCATCCGAGGACATTTTTTCCATTTTTTGTTCAGACAGAATGGGAGGGAGAGAGAGGAAGAGAGAAACATCCACGTGAAAGGGACACACCGAGTGGCTGCCACCCGCATGACCGAGCAGGGCCGGGGACAACTGCTACCGAGGTACGTGCCCTTGGCGGGAACCGAACCCGGGCCTCTCTGGACCGCAGGCCGACGCTCCAACCGCTGAGCCAAACCGGCCAGGGTGCGAAAGCATTTCTTACGTTAAGCTTACCTGGGTCTCGTCCTTGCATTGCTGTTGGACCACGAATTGGGCTGAAAGTTCCTCCCACAATCTCCTATTGGAGAATAAATTTTATTCATTGTCTCCCAAGAAATGATCTCCGTTTTCACTTTTCAAACAGGGCAAAGGGGAGTTCACTGCGGAGAAGTGAGGGGCCGTGGGCTGCCTCCCCACCCCCACTGCCACCGCCAGGGCGCTCTCTGCAGGTGGCATCGTCAATTCTAACGGAACACGACAGGTGCTGGTCAGCTGGCCGCCTCGGGCATTGGGGAAATCAGCTTCGGCATGACTTTATTACCTGGCTGTCCCCAAAGAACTGAGAAAATAGACCGAATTCCTTCCGGCTTTGTGCCTCATGCTCCCCACCCCCCAACGCCTCGCAAAATTCCCGGTTCAATCAGAAGACGGCTATTTGGAACAGCTGCTGGGAAGTGGGTTAGCCCGGGAGAATCTCGTTGGAGGGAGAATTGTGTCAGGAGGCAAGGAGAGAGAGAGATGCGATTCAGCCTGTGTGTTATTTCGTCATTAATCCTCACTCGATATTTTTCCCATTGATTTTTAGAGAGAGTGGAAGGGAGGGAGAGAGAGAGAGAGAGAGAGAGAGAGAAACATGGATGTGAAAGAGACACATCAGTTGGTTGCCTCCTGCACTAGCCCAGACCAGGGCCAGAGATCAAACTTGCAACCCAGGTACTTGCCCTTGACCGGGAATCGAACCCCAGCCCTTTGGTGCATGGACAGATGCTCTAACCACTAGGAACACGGGCCAGGGCAGCACTGTGTGTTTTCATTAAAATGACTGTACATCTTTGTAACAGGAACAGTACTGTTTCCGTGGGGCAAAGTGAGAGAAGCCCTGTGTGTGTGGGGGGTAATCCTGGGGACCACAGGGCAAGGGTCATGTGGCCAAGGTCCGGTCAGCTCTGCGTGTGTGGTGAGAGCTCAGAAGCTGGGTGAGGGTGCTGCCTCCACTGGGTGGGCCCTGGCGTCGGCCCAGTGGGCACACCTGTGCTGCCCAGTGTGGTGGCCACCAGTCACAGTGGCTATTTACCTGCACATCAGTGGAAATGAAATGAGATGAAACATCCAGTCCCTCAGCCACGCTAGCCATGTTTGACATGCTCGACAGCCACAGTGGCTCGTGGCTACCAGACTGCACAGCACGGACACAGGCCTTCGGCCACGGCAGCAAGGCTGTGGGACAGCACTGGCGTCGGCTGCCGGGGAGGCTTAGAGTGGAGGAGACCCAAGCGAAACAGGGACCAGTGACCCTAGCGGGAGGAGCCTCTATGCCCCCACCTCTGTCTCCCACGAAGTGGCTGAATCAGAACCCGGATCTCACTTACTTCCAGAGCCCCCCCTACAATGAACATGTAACATGGACTGCCCAAAGCTGCTCCCAAGTGGCTTGTTTTGTTCAACATTTCTTGAAGGAAGGAGCTGTGGAATTGACCCCCAAATCTGACACGTCATCAATTGAGGGGTGCTCTCCCTCCGGCACTGGCGAAGGCAGCATGAAACCGAGGCACCGCCCACCGCCCTGAGCAGCCAGAGAAAAGCCCAGGGCGGAAGCGGGAGCTGGCACAGGCCAGAGGTAGACCAGGGTCCCCAGAGAGGCTGCTGCCCTGGCGAGAGAGGGAGGGGACACTGGGCCTGCCCCTTACTAGCTCTTTGGCTCCCACGTTTTCTCTTCTTGTCCCATCTAGTCTCTCTCCACAATTAGGGGGTGCCTTTAAAATATGAACCAGATCACCTGACTCTCCTATTTTAATCATGTCCATGATTTCCCATTGATTTAGAATCAAATGCAAATTCTGCTAGGGTCTACAAAGGTCCCTGTGACCTGGCTCATCTCCCGAGGACATTTTTCCATTTTTTGTTCAGATAGAGTGGGAGGGAGAGAGAGGAAGAGAGAGAGAGAGAAACATCGACGTGAAAGGGACACATCGAGTGGTTGCCTCCTGCACGACCCAACCAGGGCCGGGGACAAACTGCAACCGAGGTACGTGCCCTTAGTGGGAACCAAACCTGGGTCTCTCTGGACCACAGGCCAGCGCTCTAACCGCTGAGCCAAACCGGCCAGGGCGCAACATCATCTTCCTTTACAACCTCTCGTTTGCACCACTGTGGCCCTCATTACCACCTGGAATGGTCTATTTCCTTGTTTGCTTTCCCAGTATTGCCTGAAGCCCCCAGACTGGCAAAGTCATGAGAGCTGGGCATGCTTATTCCACTCCTCACTGTGTGGACAGCGCCTGGCAGTCGGAGACACAACAAACCTTTGCAGAATAAAAGAAGTAACGGCCTTGTGCACAATACTTAACCTCTTTGAGCCTCAGTTTCCTCATCTGTAAAATGGGAATACATTGGAAATAAGTCATAAGGTTAGTTGTAAGGTAGACATGGAGTTATGAACAGTGCACAGGACACAGTAGACACTCAAATGGGTGATTTTATTTTTTTTTATTATGAGAGAAAAGTGGCAAGTTCTATACAGATAACATTTTTTTCCTGAGCCTCTTCAAAGAAAGTTACCAACCTGATGCTCGGTCACCCCAGAATTTAGTACAGTTGGCTCTCTGTATCTGTGGACTCACCAACCCTGAATCAAAAACATTTGGGGAAAACATGTTACTTTGTTGCTGATGTGTGCCCCACAGTCAGGCCGACAATGGCCGACTGTACTGAATGTGGACAGTCATCTTTTCCTTGTCATTATTTCCCAAACAATGCAGGGTAACAACCACGTCCACACCATTGCACTGGATCAGGCACTCTAAGTAATCCAGAGGTGAGGTGAAGCACATGGGAGGAGGGGCGTAGGTCCTGTGCAAACACTACCCCATTTCATGTAAGGGACTCGAACATCTGTAAATCTTGGTGTCTGTGGTGGGGAGGAAGGTCCTCCGTGGATACCTGTAGAGTCTATTTCCTTACAACAAAAGGAGGCTCCTAGATAATCACAATCAAACCATGGGATCAGGACATTACGCTGATACGTGACTACCACCTAGTCCTCAGACCCCATTCGAGGTCCGCCCTCTGTCCCAACAATGTCCTCTGCAGTAGAAAGGTCCAGCCCAGTATCACCCGATGCGTGTGGTTGTCCCGTCTCCAGAGTCTCCTTCAGTCTGGGACATTCCTCAGTCTTACTTTGACTCTCACGACCTGGACGTTTTTGAAGAGGACTGGCCAGTGACTGTTGTAGCATGTCCCTCGGCTTGGGTGTGTCTGGTGTTCCCCCGTGATTAGATCTGAGTCCTGCGTCTGTGGCAAAAATTGCAGGAGCCATGCTGTGTCCCCACTGAGTCCCCCCAGGTCAGGTGGCGGGCGGTGTCCCTTTGTCCTACTGCTGGGGAAGTGCACTTGGTCATGTGACAGGTGGCTTCGCAAGCCACCCACTGGGAAGGTCCTCTCTCCCTCTCCGTAAGACTTCGCTAGTAAGTGTTTTTGTGGGAAGGTGCTTTGAAACTATTAAGTACCATCATCAAACATTTACTTGACTCCTTCGTTCACTCTTATCAATAGGAACTCATTCTTCGCTATTTTATTTAGTGGGTTACAATCCATTACTATTGCCGTTTATTTTGATGCTTAAACGGCCTCCCTTTTGGCCAGTGAGAGCCCCTTCCAGCTGCCTTCTGTGTCCCTTGCTCTGACCCCCATTGTACTGCGGGCGCTTCCTTGCTTTCTGGCCCCCGAGTGTTCCAGGTTCACCTTGTTCTTTCCCTGTGCCAGCTCTGGGATCAACCGTTTGCCAGAGGAGCTCTGCTTCTGTTCGGCGGAGGCTAGCTCGGGCAAAGGTGTTGGTGTGAGGTGTGCTTATTGCTCCTGGGGTGCCACAGCCCCGAGGGCAAAGCCAGGGGAGGTGTCTGTGTGTGCACACACACCCATATCCATGTTTACATTTATATTTATTTCTAGTTTTCTTTCTGTATATTGAAAACCACGGTACCTCTGATTCTAATCCACCACCGTAGAGTTCATTCTGGTTTCCTTTCTTTTCTTTTTTTTTTATCCTCACCCGAGGACATTTTTCCATTTTTTGTTCAGATAGAGTGGGAGGGAGAGAGAGGAAGAGAGAAAGAGAGAGAAGCATTGACGTGAGAGAGACACATCGAGTGGCTGCCACCCACACGACCAACCAGGGCCGGGGACAAACTGCAACCGAGTTACATGCCCTTAGCGGGAACCGAACCCAGGTCTCTCCGGACCGCAGGCCAATGCTCTAACCGCTGAGCCAAACCAGCCAGGGCTGGTTTCCTTTCTTTTCATCTTTGTAACTCCCGTCTCCGATGGAGAGAAATCTGCTGCTGTTATTCTCCATATATTTACCCATTTGATCAATGAAGCCATTGATCCTCCGTTACTGCTGTCGTTTCTATCTTCCCTGCACGCCCTTGTCACCCTGCCTGAGCTCTTATCCCATCTTGGCAGTGCCCTGGTGTGGACAACACCCTCCTCTTCCTGCCTGGGCTCCGACGATGGCAACTTTGGTTGTTCCTGTTGTTGCTGTTACCGTTCCTGGCAGGTTGGTGGGGCAGTGGGGTGGGCGTTTCTCTCACTTGGACGCTCCGCTTTCATCCAGCCCAAAGGGCCAATCCTGGAGGCTCGTGGGTGTGTTTTTATATTCATAAGCTGCTTCTCGCCAGCCCCCTCGAAGAGGTCAAAGCAATTAAAAATCCTTAATTATTACCCAACGTTCAGCAGTTGATGGCTGATTCCCAGAGCCGCGTCTTACTCTCTTCCACCTCCCCCGCAGAAATCAAAGGGAGGAAAAGTAAGTCGCAGCTGAAACGATCCCCCACTCACTTTCTATAAAGAGGAAAATTGGCTGCGCTAATAAACATGAATATTAATGTATAGACAATTTCACTCAATTAAAGTGATGATCTATAATTTTGCCTCAGAGCTTTATGGAGGCCATTTCAATGACTACTGAGTGGAGGTGGGTGCTTTTCAAAGTTTATGGCTTTGGCTTAACTCCCTCATATCCATCACTGGCTTCCAAGCAGGATGGACCTTGAGTTCTTCCCTGACCAAAGTGTTCGGTGCTCAGAGCATTCACCTTTTCTGTTTGTAGGGCCCTGGCTATATCATTGTCATGGCAAGTTTATGAGATTCTGCCTAGCTCACACTGACTCCCCTCTTCCCGGGAACTCCCTGCCCCCTCCCCACCCTCCGCTGATGCACAGGCTCTTTGGGATGTGTACTCAGTGGCCATCTTTGTTCAGCGAATTTCCTCTCATCCTGGCCAGAGCTGATGGGCCCAAGGGGGAGACCCTGGCCCCAGATGGGCCAATTAGAGACTCTTCTCTGGGAATTTGAGATTGGGATTAGAAAGGACCAGTGTCAGAGGGATGCCTTTGAGCAAAAGTATGAAACTCAGAAGCTGTAGGCAGATATCTTATCTTTTGTCTCATACACTGGGTGGTGCACATGCAGAGGCCAACAGGCTGCGGGGCAGAAGTGGGGATAAGCAGGTGTCCTGAAGGCCTCCTACCTGCTTCTCCGGGTCTCTCTTGAGTCTGGCCATGTCCCCACCCTGGGCTCCTTGAAACACTTCTGTATCCTTAAAGCAGAGTGTCCTTTGGAAGGCTGCTGTCACCTGCATCCAGAGAGCCCCAGCTCACCCAGTGCCGATGGACAGCCCCTGTTCTTACCTCTGCGCCTGAGCATGCTTTCCTGACCAGCTCGCTGTCACAGCACTGTCACCCAGGAGCAAGGTCCGGCAGGCCAGGGGAGGGCGTCCTCGCTTCCACCTCTCAGGTTCTATTTCCACCTATACGTGGACAACTCTGTGAAAGGAGAAGACCAGTCTGCTGGAGACGATCACTCAGAAAGTTTGGTAGTTGCTGTCAAACAGTGGGTCGCCGGCCGTGTCATTTTTTTTTTGCCAGTTTGGGGCTCTTGAAGACACAGCTGCTGTGTGTTGTTGGCTTTCTTTGCTATTTCCTAATAGATCCTGTCACTCTCCATTCCCTTACCTTACCGTATTCTTCTTAGCACACATCACTGCCTAATATTGTGATACCTCTTTGTTTGTTCACTGTTTACTGATTGCCACGACTAGAGCAGGGACCTTGTCTGTTATGTTCATTACTGTACCCTAGTATCTAGAATAGGGCCTGACACATAACAGGTGGCCAGCAAATATTTGCAGAATGAAGAAATGAATGAATGAATGAACAAACAAATCGAACCTTTCTTTGGGAACCCCCGTGCAGAGGCTCTGGCTAGTAACCAAAAACATCTCAAGGGCCTGAATGTTCTTTTGTTTAACCTACCTTCTGGTGCGCACAGGCCATTCATAAGGACAAGTGTCTTTTCCTGGGCACACCCAGAGAATGTGGCTTGGAACAGTCTTTGGATGGAGCGCACCTGGGTTTGAACCCCAGCTCTGCCACACGAGCTGTGTAACCCTTGGGTAACTTACTCAACCTGTCCACACTGCGTTTCTTCATCTTTGCATTAAGGATGATAATAGTTTCTGTTTCACCTGATTGTTGTGCAAACTCGAGCCGATAAATATCACTTTCTTAGCTAATAAATGTCTATTTCTTAGCCCTGTAACTGGCACAGGGTACTTACTCAACAAATGTGAGTTTTTGTTTTAGTTCCATTAGGAAACATCGTTCTCCATTTTTGAGGAGAACTGGCTTGTTCATTGATTAGTACATGAATTGATTAGTACATTCAGCCAACACATGAGTGTGAATTTGGTGGTAAGAAGATTTGCCTCAAAAAGAGAACTCAGAATGATTTAAGGCATGATTAACTCATGCATTGGGCCACCAGCAGAGGTCCTTAGGGTAAGATTTGGAGGTAGGATCCAGAGCAGTGCTGGGTGTTTTAAACAAATCTTGCAGTTGGGAGATGTAGGTTCTGGTTACAACTTTCTGCTTAAACTTGGGGAATATACGTCACCTCTGCTAAACCATTTTTCCCATCTGAAAAATTGGGTGTGACACTAGATCACTTAGCCTCAAGCCTTAACGTGCATCAGAATTCTTTGGGGCGATGTGTTAAAATACACACCAGGGCTCTGCCCTGCAGAGAATGATTCCGATGTCGGGAGGAATGGCGCTCCAGTACTGGGAACCAAATGATACTTGAAAGTTCCTCTCTGTGGTTCTGGCGACCCTCAAACACAGCACAGTCCCCACCCTTAGTGCTTTGCCTTCTGTGGAAGTCCAGGTGACCTAGCCTCCTCGCGCAACCTTTTAACTCCACAGGGAGCTTTCCATGGTGCTGAAGCCAGGTCCAGGGCTCCGTAGAACATGCCCCTGTTGGCATCTTCTGAGTGGCTGTTCTTTCACAAAGGGAGAGCAAATCAACTTCAAGGTCCCCTCCACCTGCCCTGAAGTGGCTCCAGCCTTTCCTCTGCTTGGTGAAAGAAGAAAATTGTTCTTATTTCCACACCACGTTGCCAGTGAGCTGGTTTCCATGACAGCAGAGAGAGGGAAGAAAAGCCAGGCTCTCACCTACAGAGGAATTAACAGCCACCCTCTTGGAAAACAAACAATGATTGCAGGAGAGTGCTGCAAATGGAAGAGGGTTGGGTTTCAATTCATGCAGCCACATAGTATGGGGCTCTGAAAAGGAGAAGGTGTGGGGGGCACTGAGGGAGAGGATGGATTTGTAAGGGTGTTCATGGGGAGAGGGACACATAGTAATGATGATGGCAAGGATAGCATCTCACAAATCCACTGCATTTTACATTTTTTGACAGTCACTTTAGACCATCAACACATCGTATGGATTTTACTCAGGCAGAATGGGGACCTCAAGGGGAAAAGTGATTCATATCTCACTTTCATGCTGTCCCTTAGTGCTTGGGGCTTCTCCTCCGTGGCCATGACATCTCCAAGCATGGACACTCCTCCACCTCCTCCTCCAAATCTGTTCTTCCTCTGTCCCATCTCCTCCCACCCCTCATAACCGAGGCACCTGAGAAGCCTATCTTAGTTAGAGACCAAGAGTGAATGGAAGGACTATTCTCTCAGGTCAAGTTTATTTCTGGAGGCAGAATTCTAATCTAAACCAGTGACTCCAATGGCAAAAGCACTGACACTTTGCCAGGTTAGGAAGGAAAAACATTTGAATACAGGTGCATTTCCCAATTCTGCTTACATGAAGTGTTGTTCTCACGTAAGCTTGAGGGACTAGTTTCATGTTCTATATATTCTTAGGACAACCCTATTATTATCTACATTTTACAGGTGAGGAACACGAGGCCCAGAGAGGCTAAGTAGCTTGTCCAACTGCGCACTGCTGGGAAATGCCAGCACTGGGATTGGAACCCAGGTCCCTGACACTCCAGTTGAACACAAGTGTCCAGTTTAACTGAGCAAGAGCCAGGATAAACCCCTCTAGGCATCTTGCTTCTTGAAACCAAGGGCAGTTCTGGGGCTCTGCTTTGGGTAATTTCAAAGTGATTTCCTTAATCAGGAGGATTTTGAAACACAGAAAGACATCTGGAGAGAAGGGGTTTGGGTTGGGTTCATTTTGGAACAGTTGCCCAGCATAGGATGATACGCAGTTGGCCGAGTCCTGGGGTGGGTGTTAAATATAAAAGATTCACACAACAAAAGCTCCCTTCTGGGAGGGCCCGGTGCATCTTTGGAAGTATCTCTTCCAACACCAGAGGGTTAGGTAGCGATGTCAGGATGAGTTTTAATCTTTACAGAAACTCCTGTGATGTAATCTGGGGAAAGAATTAGCGTCATGCAACATAAAAGGTTAGGATCTGCATGTCTCAGGGATAAAAAGGACCTTAGAAATAGTCAAGTCCAAAGTATCCCAACGTGGGTGTATTTTAAAGATGATTTAGGCGTTGCATTAATCAGGCTAAGTTGACTAATGCTGCAGTAATAAGCAAACCCAGAAATCTTTGTGGTTTACCACAACAAAGCTTTGTTTCTCCTACGCAAATTCCGACGAGGGTCAGAGCCTCTAGGGTGATGGTCCTCCACGCAATGACTCCAGGGCTCGAACTGCTTTGATTGTTGCTGCCATGTCATTGTGTAGCTTCCAGGTCACAAAAGCAGAGGAAGAGAAAATTGAAGGGCTACATATGTTGCAAAACAAAACATTACAGATACAGAATTTTAAAATCTTTGCCCTGAACAAGAACTGACTTGCAAGACGAAAAGAGAATATTCTTTAGTTAGGAGCTTGGGACCACCCATCTCATTTTCTTAGCATTATCACAACCACAGACTTTCATTTATCTCTGACTAGAACCCCAAATCACCTCCAAGATTTGCTCTGTGGTCAGCAGGGGAGAAGGTGTCTTGTCATCCAAGCAGGGACGATGAGGCTCGGTGGGGTTCAGTAGGGGTGAGGAACGTGGACCTTGTGGCTAATTCCCCAAAGGCTACTTGAAAGGGAAGCTGATATCATATATTTCAAAGACAGTCAAAGACAGAAACACAAACGCATGCACCCACAAAGACACACAAACCCGCTGAAGTTGATCCACACAAAGACACAATTTACACACACATCCAAGCACACACAGGCACACCCACAACGATACTCCGACATGTGGCCGCCTCTCCTTGTGTGATTAACCTCCCCAAGGCTAGGAGGGGAGGCCGGAAGGTCCCCGAGGTCCTGTGAGGACAGTGAACGAGGCCCGGAGTATATAAATCTGGGGTTGGCAGAAGAATGGGCTCACCCACCTCCATTCCTCTCTGGCTGGTATCCCATAAACCTCTCCTAGCCCCTGCCTTCGTGGGAGCAATCTCCGCCGCCACCTCCCGGGTTTGTTAGATTTAGGTGCTGGAGTGGTTTGTTTTAGCCTGCCTGACAGGGGCACATTTACCATCCCGGGAGCCTGCAGAATCAGTGTTGCTTTCTCCTTGCCTGCGGGAGAAAGTGGGGTTTGGGGGCATCAGGCATGGCTGCTGTGACCTGGGCCCCTGCTCCTTCCAGAACAGGGGCAGGGTTGCTGGCGCAGGGCAGGACTGGCCCTCTCCCCAGCTCAGGGTGGACTGCCGAGCCTGGGGTCTGGCCACCTGTGGACCCCGGAGGCCCGGGGTCAAGGAAATGAAGGCGGAAACCAGCTGGTAGACTTCTCGGTGTCAGGAGAAAGCCCGTGTGGCGACTGAAAGCAGAGGCTGTGTGCTCAGCCTGCGTGAGCGGCTCTGTGACCTTGGGCACTCGGAGCTCACTTCCCCATCTGTAAAATGGGGATGATGATGGTGCATCCCTCACAGGAAGCTGTGGGCGTGTGGCACGAGAAGCGTTTTAGCACAGGGCCAGACCCCGGAGACATGATTCTATAGGTGTTGGCTGTTTTGCTCAGACTTGTTATCATGCACAGACAGAGAGTCAGGGAGGGGCCACAGATAAGAGAATGTTCACGATATACAAGCTTCAAAGAGAAAACGGCTGTTGGTCTCTATACTTCTCATTAGAGGCTCTGGCCGTTCTGGATATAGTGTGACCGGGCTCCCTGGGGTCCATGCCAATGACTAACGGCACCCACTGCGGTGGTGCTGACAGGGTGGGACCAGCTTCAGGTCTGATGACTTGTTGGTTAGCCAATTCTTTCTCAAGTGTTTGGTGCCATGGCAGAGGTGTTCCCCTAAGGAGCCCACACAGGTCTCCCTCTTCCTTCCTTCCTTCCACCTCCCCTTCCTTTCTTCTTAGATATTTATTGAGCACCTGCTATGTACTGGGTGCTTGAATGAAGTTGACCTGGTCCTTCCCTGGTAGTGCGTGTATCATGGCCTGGGAAGACAATCAACCAATAAACAGATAGGTGACCACATTGATTTCAGATGGTGGTAAATTCTTTGAAAGAGTAACCCAGCTGATAAGATAGATGGGAGTGATGGGGTGGGGGGTAGATGAACCCAGGGAGGACTTCTCAGAGGAGGTGACATCTCCGTTGAGACCTGAGGGGGAGAAGGAGCCGGCTGTGCAGACACGTGGGGGCTGAGACTTCCAGGGAGAAGGAACAGCAAGTGCAAAGGCCACGGGGTGGGGTGAGGGGAGGGCTGGTTTTTTCCAGCAATAGAACGAAGGTCAGGGTTAGTGAGGGGAATGCTACAGGAGACAAGGTCTAGTGTAGATGGATCATGTCTCGCCTTGTAGATCAGGGTGAGAAATAGAGGTTTTATTTTAAGGGCACAGACCTCATTTGCTGGAGGCTCCAAGACAGGGAGAGAGACACAATCCAATTTATGTTTTAAGGAGAGGACTTCGGCTGCTTTATGGGGACACCAGTGAGGGGGAACAGTGGGAACCAGGCGAGTGGGGAGGAGGCGGCTGCCTTGGCTGGGCGTGGCCTCAGTTCGAAGGAAGCTCTGGATCCCCAATATATTTTGAAGGAAGAGCTGATAGAAGCTGCTGACAGGTTAGATTGGGGTACGGGTGGTAGACTTGAACTTGTCTGTCTCAGTTTAGGTCCAATTCCGTTTTAACATGAACCTTCCTATGATGATTAATATTCCTGTGCCTCAGATCCCTGGGAGGGCAGGAGAATGAGCTGTGATAGAGACTCAGACCGAAGTGATGTCAGAGGTCTGGGTCATCGCCCGTCTCTGCTGCTGTCTGGTTAAGTGACGGCGGCTAAATCATGTCCCACCCCTGCCCCCGAGTCGGCCGGATCCCAGCGCCCTGGAGAAGGGAGGCTCGGAGGGGCTCGAGTTCAGGCACCGTGCAGCCGGGGTGAAAGCAGTGGATGGAAGCGTGTGTGTTGGGGTGTCACCAGGAAACGTCGCTCTCTTTGCTGGCTGGGCGTCCCTTCCCTCTGCCGTCTCCCTGTGGCTCTGAGGACACTTTGCTCCTCTGTTAGATAGCACCACAACAGGGCAATGCATACGTGCATGCTACAGGGAGACGAGATGGCGACAGTCCTTGGGCACCCCCGTGACGCTCGCTCTGCCGCTGTGCCGGGGAGAGTGATGTGACCCAGCTGGAGCTTCCGAAACGTGGGGAGGGCTGTTCGCTACCGATAAAGCCTCACAGAAATAGGGTTCCCTTTCCTCCTAGCAAGCAGGCTGTTTATGAGGCCTCACCAGCTCTGATTGGCCTCCAGGCTCACTCTTGTGTGTTGGGACGGTGGGGTAGATGGAGGACGGGGATCTTCCCTCTTCCCCCTCTGGGCCAGCTGCCTCCTCCCCACCTCGCTGGCATGGACCTCCCCCGTCACCTTCCTTTCCTGTCCTCGTCACACTGAGCCAGGCAGGACCCCCTGCCCTCCAGAGTGACCATCCATTTCCAGATTCCCTTATTCAGGCTTGTTTTCCAGGGGATGAGAGGTTCTACTCCTCGTAAGTATTTCAACAGGAACCTCCATGAACACATATTCAAAACGAAGGACTCTAATGGAGAAATGTCAGCTATTCTGATAGACCGACGGATAGAGTAACTTAGGGCTAGTGAGCAATTCCGATCGATTGTTAACACCCCCCACATTTTTAAAAGTTGTGTGTGCTCAATGCGTAACCCTTGGAAAACACAGAAGGGCACAAAGAAAATTAAATAAAATTCTCTGTAATTCCTCCAGTCAACAATTACCACTGGCAACACACACACACACACACACACACACACACACACACACACACTCACTACATATAGAATATTTACCCCAAATAGCATACTTTGCATATTCTTCTGTAGTCAGTTCTTTTCATGTAGCAATATGTTGTGAGCATATACCCAGAACTATAAATATTCTAACCCATGATTTTTTTAAATGGATAAATTTCAAACAACACAAAACAGAAAAAAATGATATGCTATTATTACAATCCTCAGGATAACCATTGTCACTTTAAATATTTTTAGGCTTGCCCTGGCCATTTTTGCTCAGTGGATAGAGATTTGACCTGAGGACCAATGAGTCACAGGTTCGATTCCAGTCAAGGGCACGTACCTCAGTTGCGGTTTGTCCCCGGCTCTAGTCTGGTCATGTGGGAGGCAACCAGTCGATGTGTCTCTCTTACACTGATGTTTCTTTCTCTCTCTCGTCTGATGATAAATGAAAAAATATCGTCGGGTGAGGATTAAAAAATATATTTTTAGGCTGTTTTTCTATGCATATATGCATTAGAATGTAATCTCTATGGAGTCTTGTCTTGCTTTCTGCACCCGTGTCCGCAGCAACTAGAAGACATGTATGCATTAGGTACTCAATAAATATTGTTGAATGGATGAAAAATAAAAAATGCGTATTTAATAAGGAGCTGGAAGCAGAGTCAACCTGCACAGTTATTTTTTTTCCTGGAGCTTGGAACACCCTAATTTAATACATTACATGGGAGGAGACAGGCATTCACCTTTGAGAAAGACCATCCCTTCATTCTGGGTGTGAGCACTTGGTGGGCAGAAAATAAGAAAAATATCTACGCATAGTTCTTGGGGAGGCTCTGAAAACTTAGATGCTGAGGCCGCAGAGGGAGCTGTCAGTCTTCTGAAGAGAACCCAGTGCAAACTGTGCATGTTGGCGGAACGTGCCCTGCAGGGTTGGAGAAAAATCTGTTTCCAAACTTGGGGTTAGGTTGCTCCAGCCCCAAAGGTGCTTGTTTGCTCTTGAGAGTTGGGGTGCGTATTCTCATCCAAGCGTTTGTTCACTGGAGCTGGGAACTGAGGGCCAGAGCGTGGTGGTATTGGAGACGGAGCCTTGAGGAGGTGCTTAGGTCTGAGGGTGGTGCCCTCATGAAGGGGATCAGTGCCCTTATAAAAGGGACCCCAGAGAGCTCCTTGCACTTGCTGCCGGGTGAGGGCACAGCAAAAGGGCGGCCATCTGTGCACCAGGGAACGAGCACTGGCACCTTGATCTTGGGCTTCCCAGCCCAGAACTGTGAGAAATAAATGTTTGTTGTTTAATTCACCCAGTCGACGCCATTTTTGTAATAGCAGCCTAAGACAACAGGTCAGGCCCATTTAAGGTGGAGGCAAGGATGCCCTAGGGGATGGATACCAGGGCTCCCAGGGAGGCAGGGCCATCCTGGAGGCTGTGCCGCAGCCTGGCAGACTCCGATTTCACAGGTGTGTGGAGGAGCGCTCAGGGATCCACCTTCATAACAAGTGCCCAGGTGACTCTGTTGTATTAGCCCATCACAGAATTACTGGCTCAGGGATCAGCTCCCCGTCCAGGTGGCTGCAAATGGGCTCCTGAAGTTTGCTTTCCCTGGCAGGTGGGAGTGAGGGAGAGGGACTGTCTGGTTCCTTTGGTTTGTGGATATAGTAGTTCCCCCTTATCGGGGGACACATTCCAAGGCCCTCAGTGGATGTCTGAAACCATGGCTTGTACTAAACCCTATATATACTATGCTTTTTCCTCTATACACATACATATCTCTGATAAAGTTTAATTTATAAATTGGGCACAGTACGAAATAAAACAATTACTACTAATAAAAGAGAACAATTATAACAATATGCTGCAGTGGAAAGTATGTGACTGTGGTCTCTCTCTCTCTGTCTCTCTGAGAGCTGATCTAAAAGCCCAGCCGGCGGCTGAGTGAATAATGGCAGAGAGTGAGGAGAAGCTGAACAAGGGATGATTCCTGTCCCAGGTGGGGAAGAGCAGGACAGGGTGAGATTTCGTCCTGCTACTCAGAATGGTGCGCAATTGAAAAGTTATGGATTGTATATTTTTTGGAATTTTCTATTTAATATTTTCAGACCATGGTTGACCGCAGGTAACTGAAACTGTGGATAAGGGAGGACTACTGTACAGTAGCAGAGCGGGGACAAATTACTCCTGGGACTGAAGATGTACTTTGTAAGAAAAGGCGGTGAGCAGATCTGCTCAGATGTTTAAGAACCCCCTCTCCCCCAACACTTTGGAGTTGAATAGATCAAACATTTGGGTGTTACTTGACCTTTCTGAACCCCCATTTCTTTGTCTATAAAGTACAAGCAATTATTACAATGAATGTGTATGACTTCAGCATTAAAAAGAGTAAAAAAAAAATCCAAATGATTATTTTTGGGGATCATAATAAAAGGTCTGAGCCAGCGGGAGATCACATCCACAGCTCGAGGCCAATATAGAGCAACATGGCTTCATTGCATGTGCCTGGGTGCAGGCGGGCTGAGCCGAGAAGGGTTCAGCCTCGAATAACAGTTGGGGTGTAGGTTATATACTCTGCTTCTAGCTTCCGGCAGTTGCTGCTGACGTACTCTGCCTGGCCCACTGTCCACTGTGCAGTTGGACTGGTCTGGTATCTCGTCCTGCATCTGCTGGGTGATTCATTGTCTTGCGGATAATCCAGATAATCCTTATCCATACTCAACAGAAGGCTGAGCAAAGGTCATGCAAACAACACAATTTTCACAGTTTCTGCCTTTTGCAAACTTTTACCTTTACCCTTTAACACATTACTGACCCTTTCACGTAGATCCCCTTGAAAATCAGATGACAGCTGGGGATCCTGCAGTGGCATGAGTTATGTATGCCTGGCTGGCATACCATTCCGCTCTTTAAAAAAAATTTTTTTTCTTTATTGACTTTTAGAGAGGAAGGAAGAGGGAGAGAGAGATAGAAACATCAATGAGAGAGAACATCAATTGGCCGCCTCCTGCATGCCCCTCACTGCACTGCAGATCAGACCCATAATCTGGGCATGTGCCCTGATTGGGAATGGAACTGGCAACCTCTTGGTGCATCGGTCAATGCTCAGCCACTGAGCCACACCAGCTTGGGCCCTTTCCTCTCTTTTGGTAACATCTTATGAGTCAATGGGGGTTGGATTAGCCCCATTTAGGTTCTCTGGATAAGGTAACATTAGGCCTGGCCAATCAGAGCACTTATTAGATTCCCCCCCACAATGATTGGTTTAGGTAGGTCACATGACTACAGAGCTGGCCCAATCAGAATGAGTTCCAGGCCTTCTGAGAGAGATACTAACATAGAGGAATTCTTTTTCTGCTGGAGTCTCTGGTGGCTGGGATGTGAGCAAGATGCTTCTGTCACTCAGCTGGGCAGAGCATCTGATGGTGAAGACAACACAGAGATGAAATAAAATAAAAAAATAGAGCCCTGGCCAGTTTGGCCCAGCGGTTGGAGCATCGGCCTGCGGACCAGAGAGTCCCGGGTTCAGTTGCCGCTAGGGGCATGTACTAAAAAACAAAACAAAAAAAACAACAAAAAATAAATAAAATAAAATAAAATAAAATAAAATAAAATAAATAAAAAAATAGAAACAAACCAAGTCTTGATGTTGTCTTGTGAGCACCTGATCAAGCCACACTTGAACTTCCAAGTTATGTTGGTCAGTAAATCGCCCTTTAGGCTTAGTCACTTTGAAATGGGTTTCTGACACTTGCAAAGTCTTACATAATATAGCAATTAAGGTGGAACCATTTTGAAATGCTAAATGCTCCAAATAGACGCAGATGGTCTGTATTAAATTTTCATGCACTTGATACCTTTGATGGAGATGAGGGTCTTTTTCCCATCCCTCTGAGAAAAGGAATAATTTTGCTTGTTTTGAAAAACTAGACATCTGGCCAATCCCAGAGAGATAACATGACTCTGTTTCGCAATGTGTGACTGTGTCTTTAGAATGGCATGTCTGCTCTGCCAAACATGTATTGAGCACTTCCTGTATACCAGACACCCTCGCCTACAGAAATTAACTTGTTTCCAATTTACAAAAGAAAAAAAACTCCCCGATCATACCCCAAATAAATAGAATTTATAGTTTGGGCTCTCTCTCCCATTCTTTTCCTGCTAGCTCATTGGCTCTTGCTACTGGCTTACATTAGAATTTGATAAGAGATGATAGTTGATTTAGCACAAAATGTTATGTGTCAGAATAACTCATTGAGATGATAATTTGTGTTTTGTTTTCTACAGGAACAGAATCAGAATGGATGGGAGTTATTTGTACAGAGAGTTATTTGTACATCCTGCTCTGTACCGGATCCAGTTCGGAAAGGGGACAAGAACGCTGGGTAGGCAGACGTGATGTCTGCTGCTTTGGTACTCAATAAATGCCTGTTTCCTCCTCTCTTTCCTCTTCTGTCTTGTTAGACCTCATGACAAAGTGGAAGTGCTGTCATCTACGGGCCGAACCCTCCCCGGGAGAGTCAAAACCTGCTCCATAGCCAGTGAGCTCCAGACAAAGCCTGTGCGATTGTATCGGGCAGAGGACTGGGCTCAGAGAGCTTTCAGGACTGCTGTAGGAGAGGGCAGGGCTCGGACTCCAGCGCCTGTCACCGGAGGTCAATGATGTGCAGCCCAGGCGATTCTGCAGGCTCCTGGGATGGTAATGCTTACTAGCTCCAGGAGCTCAGAGCCCCTTTCCAAGCAGGCACTTTGTTGTTTTCAGGAGGAAACTCGATCCATTCTCTTTGTCCTTTCATTTGCAACATTGGCTGATGTGTCAAAGGGGAAGAGAGGGAGTTGAATGACTTTGGGGGGGCAAAAGGCGGAAGCAGGGAGAGCAGAGGGAGACTCCCTAACGCCAGAGGCAAGTTGGCTGGAACATTGCAGGTGCCATGACTCACTCCATCACAGGGTCCTAGGGAGGAGATGGAGCCCCACTGGTGCTGGGATGGGAGGCATTTTATTTATTTTTTTCTTTATTGATTTTTAGAGGGAGAGGGAGAGAGACAGAAACAGAAACATAGATGAGAGAGAACATCAACTGGCCACCACCTGCATGCCCCCTCCTGGGGATCAGGCCCACAACCTGGGCATGTGCCCTGACTGGGAATCGAACCAGTGACCTCTTGGTGCATGGGTCGATGCTCAACCACTGAGCTATATGGGCCGGGCTGGAGAGGCATTTTAAATGGATGGGGAACACAGAAGGGATGTCTGGGGTACACTGAATCCTGGATATTGGGGCTCAGCCTCCACAAAGATTCCTGTGGCCAAACTTAAATGATTCTGTAGAGTTGGATGATGGTCCACCAGTGAGGTCATGGGATACTGAAGACCAGAGGCCTATTCTTTGTTTCCTGAACCCCATGTCAAACCTCTCAGATTTCAGTGTGACCTTAGAGAGGTGGAAGGACCATCTTAAAATATGGAGATTGAATTTCTCACCAACTCCACAGGATGGGGGCTCAGAGTTGATTAAAAGATAAGCCTGGTATTCATTGCATATTCGATTCTGCAGGCTGGGTCTTTGAAAGGGAGCTGTCATTTGTTGAATGCTTACTAGCTTTAGGTACTGTGCTGGATTTTTTTTTTCTCTATTGATTTTTAGAGAGAGAGGAAGGGAGAAGGAGAGACAGATAGAAACATCAATGAGAGACAACATCGATAGGTCGCCTCCTGTATGCTCCCCACTGGGGATTTGGCCAACAACCTGGGCATGTGCCCTGACCGGGAATTGAACTGGTGGCCTCTTGGTGCATGGGATGATGCTCAATCCACTGAGCCACACCAGCTGGATGTGTGTTGAATTTTTAAACTTATGGGATTGTCTTTACCCCTCAAAGCAACCCTATGACATTGGATAGTATTATATTCTATAGATGAGGAAATTGAGTCTCAGAGAAGTTAGGTTGCTCGCTGTAGGGTGTGTTGTTGATGCCCCTCCACACTCTCTCGCTTGGGTCTTACAATTTCAGGGTCCACAGGCTGAACTTCCAAACCCCCAAATCTGTAGCTCTTTGTCTGAGGGCTCATGCTGACCACCAGGGTCCCCATGTTCCGCAGGCCCGACCTGCCATGGAGTTGATGCCTTAGGGGGCAGCCCTCGAATAATGACTTATAGGAGTTGGTGTCCTTGGATGAGTTCCACTGTTAGCCAGTTCAACACTGGCTGGCTCGCTGGGGTCTCCAGCAGAATCCAGCTACCTTGGTAGCTTCCTGGATACACATCCTGCTTTGGTTCCTCCTGTCCCCAGTCCCCGGCTGGTGCTTCAGGAGGTCACCTTCTGAATCAGCTACTTGCGTGAGAAGCCTTGTCTCAGGGGAAGTCTCCGAGGGATCTCAAACTGAGACACTTGGCCTTGACAAGCAGTGAATCGAGGAGCTGGGACTCGACCCCTGTCTGCCTCTTTCTGATGCCTGTGTACTTAGCTGCTGCTCTAGAGTTTTCTTTTAAGCTTGACACACCAGCATTTGGAGGGTCTGCCAGCGATGGACAAGTTCTCTGCCGCTCAACAAGCTTGTGAGCAGCGACCCCGCCGGACCGGTGCATGTAAGGTGGGCATATTCAGCAGACCCCTAATCTTCACGATGGAAGCAGCAGGCCAGTCTCAGGGTGGAGTTCTGCTCGTTGGTGGGAAGGAGGAGGGAGAGTCTATTGTAGTGAGGAAGTGTGGTCTGTGTGCTGATGCTCACTCTAGTTAGCATGCTGCCTGAGTACAATGTCTCCAAGCTGGCCATCTCTCAGCTGGGCGATAAAGTAATTTAACGAGGGCTGTCTTCCAGGCTAGAGCTCCTGGAGATTGCTCCCCATTTATCACAGAGGAAAAACCTGGATCCGCAGCCCTTTGGCTGCCGACATCATCTAGGCTGCACGTCATTGATCTTTGAATGGTGAAGTTCTGCTGTGGGTAATGGAGTCAGAGCCCATACGCTCCAGTAGCCATGAAAGCTCTTCTCGACCCGGTCCTCTGCCTGATGTGAATTCACGGGCTTCGTGCCTGGTCCTTGGCAATGGAGTGGGAGTTGATGGACCCTGGGAAGATTCTCCTGCCTACAGATGCTCTGCTGGTTTGTCGTGATGTCACCCAACAGAGAAGGAATAAGGAGTGAAAGAAATATATATTTTTTACTGTTATTGCAATGGAAATTGTGTTTGCCTACATGCAAGGGTCTGCCTTTTTTTTTTCCCTGCAAAGAGCCTGAGAGTATTTTGGGCTTTGCAAGACATAGGGTTTCTTTGGCAACGGCTCAACCCTGCTGCTGATGCATGTGGTTGTGTTCCAGTAAAACTTTATTTATAAAAACAGGGCTGGATTTGGCAGGCAAGTAGACCCTGGCCCACAGCATCCATTTTTTCTTACTGACAGTACCTGATTTTCATTTCACCTTCCTTGTGGTCCTAGGAGACTGACCACCCAACCACTGGGGATGGATTTTGATTGGCTTAAGTCAATCAGCACATTCCATTTCTCTGGACACTGGCTGGTTCTGGAAGATCCCTTGGGCTGGCGTGGAGCAGAGCTGGCAATGGAGATGGGAAGAGGGGGATGGAGTCCAGAGGACTCTAAGGAAGGAGAGAGAGGAGGACTTGGCTGTGGATGGGGTGTAGAGAGAGACAGAGGGACTGTTGAGCTCCATGGATAAATGGCGGCATGGAGACAGGAAGGAAGGCACACTGAGGGGGGGCGTCCGGAGTGGGGATGAAGATGATCAATGTAGGTCTGTGCAGGCTGTGTTTGAGCTGTCTCCAAAACATCCAAGCATTTGCCTTGCCAGCAACTGACATTACTCCTCTCCCCGCAGGGTGAGCACTTTGCAACCTACTGACACGGATTTTATCACTGCCATCGGGAAGCAAATGGGCAGAGGGGTAAAAAGAAAACAACCCCAACTGTCCTGTGGACACTCGGTTTCATTCGACTCTTGTAGCCCTGGTAGAGAATGTCAGGCAAGGGGGACGTGTAGGGGAACAGAGGGAAGGGATCCGGTCTATTCCCATTCTTCAAAGCTCCTAGGCTAGCAGTCACTGGGGTCAATGAAATTGAACTGCAATCTACAACACTTATTGAATACCTGTTTTATGGTGGGCGTCATGGCTACATTGGAATCCTGTCTTTCTCTCACGCCTCCCTGGAGAAGACTCGGGACCATCTCTATGTGGTCGGGAAAGGAGAGACCTTATGTTTGAATAGAGGCAAAGACCAAAAAAGTAATAATCAGGACAAGTCATCAAAACTAAATTAAATCCACACGCCAAGTAGAAGCTCCACCAGCTATGCCAAGTGATTAGAATTAAATAGAAAGATCTGTTTCCTTTCGCCTCCTCTCCAACCTTTTCCCCGTGTTGTGTTTTTCTCCCCCTCTGAAAGTAAAGAGAAGTCTTAACAAGCACCTCGGTGAATGATGTGGAGTTCTCTTGGAGTTTTCAATTTGGCTGTATTGATTTATAAGGTCGTTTCAATTACTGAATTCTTCTTGGTGGCAGTGCGTAGGGCCCGAGTACGTGAGAATCATGCTCTATTGATCCCAGGTACTTAGAAAGGGGGCATTTACGTGTCTGCTTGAGATTGATGAAGTTTCAAATAATGAAGCTCCCCATGCCACATTTATTAAATGAAAATCTAGAATTCATTAACACAAGAACTTGTCTCAGATGGGGGGGGGTGCTTGAGGAAAAATAGGAACTACAGTAGTTATTGTGAACATAATATATGAAGCAATTTGAATGCGAGGGAAGGCAATTTAGAATCTTATTAAATTTTCTTCTCTCCTTTTATTGGGTGAACATGGTTGAGTGGCTTCTGGGGCATCATTGATCAAAACATAGGTACACGGGGAGGTGGGGACTGGAGAAGAGACCAGTTCCCCATTCCTTGCTCTAGTGAAAATGGGATTTTTTCCAGTGCCTAGTATCTGGCGGAATCAGAAACACAATGACTGTGAATGATAGATGATGGATGGATGGATGGACGGATGGATGAGGGTTGGGAGAGACCATTGAACATTAGCCGTGGTTGCCAAAGAGGTGGCAGCTATTTAGCTAAGCCCTGTCAGACTCTGTTTCCGATTCATTTCACTCACTCATTCATTCTCTTACTCCACAAACATTTATTGAGAATTGATCATGTGCAAGGTACTATGTTAATCACTCTTCGTATCCTGGGGCTGTCCTAACAAATGACTACAAACCAGGTGGCTTAAAACAACAGAAATTTATTTTTTACAGTCTGGAGGCTAGAAGTCCAAAATCAAGGCATTGAGAGGGGCACCCCCCCACGCCCGAAGGCTCTAGGGAAGAATTCTCCCAGCCTCTGCCAGGGTCGGGGGGTCCTGGGCGTTTCTTGGTTTGTGGCACCATCACTCGGTCTTTGTCTCTGAATTCCCATGACTGTCTTTCCTACATGTCTGTGTCTCTAGACTCCCCTCTCTCTCCTTATGAAAACACCAGTCATTGGATTTGGGGCCCATGTGAATCCAATATGACCTCATCTTAAGTTGGTAACATCTGCAAGGGCCCTATTTCCAAATAAGGTCACATCCATAGGTTCTAGGTGGACATGTCTAGGGCTACCAGCCAAATGGGGGAGAAAAGAGAAACACACAAATCCTGCATATAAACACCAGTGTATAAACACCTCCCAGTTGCTAGCATGTTGCTCTGGTGACCTGCTGTATCCCCTTGAATCCTTTCTGCAACTCGCTGAACACAGGGAGGAGGCTGCTCGTTTTTAGAGACGAGGAAACGGAGTTGCGGGAGAGTGAAGTCGTGGAGCTGGCCAGGGGCACAGCCAAGTCGTACCGGTTCCTTGTACACCCTTACCGTAGGGCAGAGAGAGCGCAGGTAAGCGTCGAGAGGGAAAACAGAGGTGAACACTGTTACACGTGGGTGTGGAATCCTTCTGGGATGTACAGTGGACATTTTTTTTTTGTCTGCTGAGCATCCCCTTTCCAGTCTTAGGAACTGGCCGTCTTCCCACGCATGTAGCTCCGTGACGGGCTCCCGGAAGCCATGTGTGGGCAGCACACCCCAATCCTGGCCATGGTTGATTAAGTCAGGCGTGGGCACCTGGCCCCCACTGAGTCAGCCAGTCTGGACTGGGAACTTGGACTGGAGACCAAGGGGTTCTAGCCTCAATCTTGCTGATCCCCGAGATGGAGCAGGTGGGAATTTAGAACGGGCGCCACTCCCCTGTGTTGTGGGCTTGCAAGCCGAGGAGGGTGGTCTGCAGAGGGAGAGCAGAGGAACCCAGCTGAGAGAATTCAGAGATGGTTCCCATGATCCAGCCGCATCTTACCCTTTAGGGCTCTGCGTGTCCTTGGGACAGTCGTCCCTTTTCCAAATCGATTCAATGGAAAAGGTTTCTGGGTCTTGCAACCAAGAACACTATGCGTGACGAGGAAAAAGAAACCCTAAAAAGTAGCTTGAGCCATAAAGATGTTTGTTTGTTTGTTTATTTATTTACTAAGATGGCTGGAGGAAGGTAATTTTTGTATGGTTTAATGTCATTAAAGGCATAGATATTTATTCTTTTGTCTTGGCTTCCCTGGTGTGTAGGCTGACTGCCCTCATGGTCACAAGGCAGCTGCCGCAGCTCCAAGAATCACATCCTCACAAGAGAGAGTCCCAAACGAGGAAGGAAAGGGAGCCAGAGCAGGAAAGGAGCTCTTTCTGCACGTCCTTCTCTCTACTAGGAGACGAGGAGGAGGACTACTTCCGGAAAGCCCCTCAGCAGATGGCCCCGATGTCTCATTGGTCAGATAGATGGCATACTATGACTGATTTAGACAAGTCTTAATTCGTCCTCAGGGGCTGAGCATATTTTTTCTTTTTCCTTTTTTTTTTAAAATCCTCACCCGAGGACATTTTTGCATTTATCTTCAGATAGAGTGGGAGGGAGAGAGGGAGGAAGAGAGAGAGAAAAACATCGATGTGAGAGAGACACATTGACTGGTTGCCACCCACATGACCCCAACTGGGCTGGGGACAAACTGCAACTGAGGTACATGCCCTTAGTGGGAACCGAACCCTGGTCTCTCTGGTCTGCAGGCCGATGCTCTAACTGCTGAGCCAAACCGGCCAGGGCTGAGCATATTTTTCAATAGTACAAAATCATAGCCCTGTGAATGAGGAAGAGGGTATGCAATGGTATTGGGAGGGTAACCAATAAACTACTCCATGAGTCTTAACTAACAAATTATCCATAACGTTTTTTAGCCTACAACATTCACTATAAATATTATGACCATCTTTTCATTTTGATAAATATACAAAGCGCATGATTTTATTCACCACGCTGTAGAACAGTACTCAGCATAGGTGATATAGCCAATGACCTCTGCTGTCTGATGCCCCCCACCACCTCTCTGCTGTTGCCCTGGCAACAATCATCTCTGACCCGGTTGTCAAGGACAATTGTCTTTGTCTTCCTTTTCTACTTCTTTGTTAGAGACTTTTTATTTTTCTCCCTTAGGTAAGACTGAGGTTTCCAGAGAGGATCATCTCCTTCTCTCTCCTCACTTGTCCATTCCTGAGCCCTGAGGATGGACAGCCAGCACCAAAGTCTTGGTCAGGGGATCGGGTGGAAGCTGAGCCCTCTCTCTGGTGACACTGGGTACTGATCAGGGAATCCTTGGCCTCCAAGTGACCTAAGTGCCCAGCACGAGCTGACCATAGCAATGCTTCTTCTTCCTCCTCCTCCTCCTCCTCCTCCTCCTCCTCCTCCTCCTCCTCCTCCTCCTCCTCCTCCTCCTCCTCCTCTTCTTCTTCTTCTTCTTCTTCTTCTTCTTCTTCTGTACGTGACCCTAGTGGGAATTGAACCTGGGACTCTCTGGTCCGCAGGCCGACGCTCCAACCGCTGAGCCAAACCAGCCAGGGCAAAATGCTTTTTTTTCCCTTTTCTTAGAGGGCGAGGGGCACAATGCTTCTTTGAACATCAGGTTCCTGCTGGCCCCAGGGATGGAGGGTGATGGCAGTTTGCTGTCATGGCTAAGCACAGACTTCAGACTTGGACGGACCTAGGTTTGGATCCTGGTTCTGCTACATGGAAACAAGTTACTTCAACTCCGTGTCTCTCGGTTTCCTAAAATACTGTCTCTTCTGCGGGTCACAGTGTAGGTTGGAGATACACATGTCGAGTCATGAGCAGAGAACCTGGCATGTAGAAGATGCTCAAGAGATGACAGTTGTGGCTGGTGTAATAGAATTTCCCAGGGGGCTCCTCTCCTTGCCCTGTTCTCTATGTGGGGGAACCATGAAAGAGACCATGCCCCTCCATTTCCTCATCTTTAAAGAGAGAAACTAATAAAACGGGTCATTGTTTGTTAAACATCCAGCAGGTTGTAAATTCAGTGAACATGAACAGTGATCACTAGTACCACCGCTATTTGTACTAGGCTGATGTTTCTTTATGCATTTCATAATTCTTTGGTGCCTTCTATTTTTTTTATTTATTTATTTTATTCTTACCTGAGGACATTTTTTCAATTTTCTTTTCAGATAGAGTGGGAGGAAGAGAGAGAGAGAGAGAGAGAGAGAGAGAGAGAGAGAGAGAGAGAGAAACATCAAAGTAGAAGGGACACATCGAGTGGCTGCCAGCCGCATGACCAACCAGAGCCGGGGACAAACTGCAACCGAGGTACGTGCCCTTAGTGGGAACCGAACCTGGATCTCTCTGGACCGCAGGCCGACGCTCCAACCGCTGAGCCAAACCGGCCAGGGCCTTTGGTGCCTTCTAGAAGCCAAGCCCTGTGCTTGGTTCTGGGGGGTTAGCAGGGACCCCAACAGGCACAGGGAGGAGCCATCCTGCCTGGGTGCTGAGACAGTCACCTTTGCCTGGGAGTAGACATCTGTGAGCCAGGTCCTTGAAACAGAGTTCTCCCTTCAGCCTCCCTGGAACCATGGGGGGAGGGAGCAGGATGGAGATGGGCGCGGGAATAATGATTCTGTCAGCAAGAAGTGAACCACCGAATGCAAAGGGACGTCAAGGTCCCACTGCCCCAGCGGCAAAGGAGGGAGGCTCTTCCTGGCAGGCCTCCTGCAGCCCCAGGAGATGTTTAAATGCACTTAATTCGGCGGACAGAACAAGCCCGGCCTGCACGGCACTTCTGAGAAGCCAGCTCTTTGGGGCCAGAAATGCAGCTGTCCTGAGAGAGCTCTGGGATCAGGCACCCACCAGAGCCTCCTTGCCGATTGCATCGGCCAAAATAGGCAGGAAAGACGCTGGGGACGTCTGGGG